GGCTGTAAACACCGCTGGATAGTGAGAGAACTGGACCAAGCAGCCGGCTTCTCCGGCCATAGTAAAATACGAGGCGAAGGAGGAGGGGAGGAGAAAGATCTGCTCCATCCCTGTCTTCTTACTTGCCTCTCCAACTCCTTCCCAGACCTAGGAGATAAGAGGGGATCTCCAGGAAATACCCAGAACAGAGGACGTGGATTGCTCTGCCACCATCCCTCTTTTTCAGGAAGCCGTATTTGCAGAGATTTCCCGACACACACATTGACTCCCGAGAAGATATAAGAAAGCAATTGTAAAATGCAACAGCGGGCTGACAACCACCTCTCCTTTCCCCACGGCAAAGCTCAAGGACAGCAGGCTGCTGCAGATAGCCGGAGATGGGGAGGGAGATATGCATGCAAATAAAGGCAGCCCTCCGAGGTGTTGGGGAGAGCTGGGAGCTTCCTCCGCGGCGAGCATCGAGGGGCGAGGGAGGTGCAGCGAAGGGGCGGGGTGGCTGGATGCAGGGGGAGGGAGAGAGTCCCGGTCCCGCAGTGGGGGGAGGAGGGAGGAGGGACCATGTCGGTGGGATGGTCCGGAAATCCTGTGATAAAAAGAGGGGCGAGGGGGGAAAAGTACGGAGAGGTTCTGGGATCATTCTCTCTCACCGCAGCCAGCAACTTCCTCGGCACATGGGCGCCGGCCAGAGCCTCTAGGAGCGGTACTGAAAGGAGAGAAGCCGCCGTCGCAGCCACCTGCCTCCGGCCCGGCACAGCACAGATCAGCACAGCGCCCGCTGACCGGCGAGGTACCGGCGCCGGGGCGGGTGGGCCGCATGCCGGTCGGCGTGCGGAAGGGCAGTGAGGAGAGGTGGAGTGTGGGCACACAGGGATGGGGGAAGCCCTCGTCCTCCCAGGTGCTGGCAGGCCGCGCAGCCCCACGGCACGACTGTGACCCGGAGCCAGTGTTGGGCCCGCGGTGGCATACTGCCCCGGCGCCTAGCCATATGCTCCCCGCTGCCGGGGCGAGCACAGGGAGGAAGCACCCTGCGCGGCAGAGCTGCTGCGCCTGGGGCTGACCGGTCTCAACCTTGAACCGTGTCGGTTCTTCTGGAGGAGGTGCAGCCCTCGCTGGCACTGCGCTGGGGGCTTTCCGGGTGAGGTTTCTGAGGGACTACAGTTGGGAAGTCTCCCTCGCATCCATACTCTGTATCCCGCCGCCCGGGGCTGCATCCGCACCTAAGTAGCGCAGCTTCCGTTGATTGCCCTCCCGCGCACTTGCCGAGAGCTTCACCTTCAAATGCCCCCTCGGTGCTCCCCGGCAGAGCTGCCACTCTGGAACCCGCCCTCCGAAAACCGAGAGGGCGAGAGGCAGGCGGGAAAAGTTCAAAGATTTAATGCCTTCCAGCCCGTCTGCAGGAGACAAACTGTAAGGAGAATTGCACTGCTCCTCCACACTCATTGCAGGCCACCTGCCCTGCCTGGGGGAACCACAGTGTCCCATTACCTCCTTCTCCTCCTACCCATTCCCTGCCTGCCAGCATGCAGATCTGCTTCCTAGGTGCCTTGTTTGGCAAAGCCAGGGTCTGCAGGGATCGGGGGTTGAAAACTTGTCTGCACTCTGAGAAGGGGAGGAAAGGTGTGGTGAGAGAGCTGAGAAAGACGGGCATCAATCTTTCCTCAGAGACACCATTGCTCTTTTGATTGTGCTTCTTTGCAGGCTGCCCTCTAAGGATTCCTGTTCTCTGTGCATGTGATATGAGGCAGCACCCCTAAGCCGTCACCATGGATTTTGTTATGAAACAAGCTCTGGGAGGTAAGTGGTTAGCACATGAGGGGCCTTGCATCCCTCCCCTCCCTCCCCTTTGCATCTGGAATTAGAGAGAATGGACTGCTGTCAGATCACTGGTAGGGTCTGCAGCTGGATGAACTGTTTGGGGACCTGGAAGAACATGTCTGTCACTGATTCATGATGTCAGAGCCAAGTGTTTAGAGAGCCTGAGCAGGAGAGGGCAGCAACAAGCAGAGACCAAAGCCCCACGTGAGGGAAGACATTTCCCACAAAGGTGTGCAGGCCCTGGGTCATGCCTAATCTGGCACCCTACCAGCTGGCTTCCTGTACTGCTTTACAGTGCACACGTCTTGCTTTGCTTCATGCCATGCCACTGAGGCAAGTATTACAAAGGCTGCAGATGGGTTTAACCAGAGTAAACCCAAACAAAAAATAGCATTTTATATATGTGTATGAGCCCCCTTTTCATCCTCTCCCTAATTGTTGGCCAGACCTTCAGCAAGAAATGGCTAGTAAAGACATTTTTGTACCTGGTATTTGGAGAGTTATTTTTAATAGAATATTGCTGCAATAAGCAGGGAAACAGTATTATTCTCCCACACCCTACCTGGATTTGAGGCCAACCTTTTATGTGGTTTCAATATATTTCCTTCCATATGTGATGAGTTGTTTTAACCTAATGGTGGGAATAAAGAAGGGAGTGGTGTGTATGGGAGAAATTGAAAACAAATTATTTGGGAATAAGATTCCTTAATTTTGCCACAGTTATGCTGCCTTTCTGAGCTGCTTGGCCTGAACATTCAGTCAAAATGAATATGTCACTGAGATGATGCTGAATGCTGGCTCTTGTTGGGGACTGGAATAGCTGGCCTCAGAGGTAATCAATGAGGAGGTTCCAGTCATTCTCTTCTGTACTTTATCTCATGTGTTTTCCATTCATTTTCCTTTGGAGAAACTGTAGAGGCATAGAACTGTGGGAATGGTTCATGCATGTTGTTACTGATGTTACACGCAGCTTCAACCTTTACTGTAGGACTCTCTCCCATAGCATGAAAACTTGATTTTCATCACTGAAAACAAAATAACTATTCTTCAAATTTTTTTTTTCACCAAGGCAGCAAAATTCTCAGGAATAGAGCAACGAACTCAAGTTTTAGTTGGGGTGTTTAAAATGGGAAGATCAAACTGGAGAAGAAAAGGTCTAATTTGATTGCACAAAATAGCAAGACAGAAAGATATCTATGTGAGAAGATAACAGTTTATATGGTAGCAGTGTTACATTTCATTACTCTTCAGTTCCTGTTTTGAGGAGAAATAGTTCTGAGAAGAGCAGATTTCGCGCTGTTTGCTATGGTGTGAATAAGGTTGCTTGTACAGAAATGAAGTGTACCTGCAAATATAGTCATTGCAGCTGGAGACCTGTGAATCCATTAAAGGGAAAAAACTGCTTAAAACCCCAGTTAAAGGCAGGGGGAGGAGGATTACAGCAAAGGAATAACAGTTGAGATGCATTCTTGCAGTTTAGTGACTAACCTGAGTTGGAAGCAGAGTCAGCCCATGCTTAACAGCATTTACTCTGGGCAGATAGTAATTCTAAAATAGGGTTGTATGCCAGGGTCAGGATTTGCATTATAATAGGAGTTGCTAAAAAGGCAAATTTAAAAAGCATCTTATGGTGAAGCCTGAGTTTCTGATGCCTGTCAAGATGCTGCTCAGTGCACCAGATCTTCTGCCAGTTAGCTTAATGGATTAGCAAAATGTGTCTGGAACTTGCTCACTTACTCAATAAAGGAGAAGTCTCTGCTGAGTGGTAAAATCTAGGAAATGTTAATTCATTAAGCAGATAACTTCTAGATACTAATAGATACTTTCTAAAAATAGATAATTTCTATTTTTAAATTAGAAATAATTTCAAAGAGGAAACCCAGGATTTCCTGTGGCAAATATAACATGGAAAGTAAAGGTGGTTTTGGACAGTTGTTTCTCACTGGAGTTAAAGCCCAGGCTGATGCAAGCATGCAGTCTGGTTGCACTGGCACAGCAAGGCAAGGGTTAAAGGTTACAGTTTGTTTCATTAGTTATGGGGCCAGAACCCTTTTTTGTCAGCCAGTTCTGACATCCAGAGGGAGATGCCCAAACTAAGCAAAGCACCAAACCTCTGGTGGGTGGCAGGCTTGCTTTGGCTAGGATATATGGTGTGATATCCTAGTAAACTTTTTTATTGTCCCCACTGTCAGGGAGATCTTCCTGTGGGTTTCACGGCTCTTTGACTTTAGTTTAATGTAGCTTTTCCCAGATCACCTTTGAATTAATTTTGCTGCCTGCTTGGGATTTTTTGACTGATACAAATGTTCTTATCCCATCCTCACAATCTCTTCTATCATTGCTGGAAGAAATTAAAAAAAAAAAAAAAAAAAAAAACAGTAAGGTCTCCTCCAATTTACAAAGAATCAGACCTGCTCTAGGTATTGCTGGCAGACCACCTACAGCTATGATGGCTTAACCGTTTCCCTATCTCAGCTGGGGAGACCTCACAAAGGCCAAGGGTGAACTGGGTTTCCTTATCTCAGCAGTATGGGCATGGCATTTTCTCTTCCCAGCATCCAGCCCCAAAGTGGGGCTGAGGCCAGAGCTTATGGTAGCTAAGAGCCTGGATCTGAGAACTGTTTGCTGGTGGGATGCTTTTGCCTTTTTTCCTGCTGGACAGGGCTTCGCAGGGCTCTGAAGCATATGAGGTTTTTGTGACCAGGTTTCATCATACTGGAGTGATCAGAGGAGGTATTTATTGGAAGGAGAATATCATTGCTCTGCCACCTCCTCACTCACCTTATTGAGGAAGAGGAGATCTCACTCTCTGCTTAGTTAACAATAAACAGTACCCTTAGCATAACACTGCCGTGGGAGTTTTCCCATTGCCTTTGAAGTAATCCTTGAAGACATTTCCTTTGTCTGTAATGGTACAGGACAATCAGATTTGTTTTTCCTTTGAGTTTTGTCAGAGGGGAAGAAGGCAGTAAGGTGTTTTGAAAGGTAGGTGAGCTAAATTAGCAAGCAAGGACAAGCAATTATGTCTGTAGAGTTTCTTTGTTTGGAAGTCTGTGCGACTGGTGGATTTAGGTTTTGTGACGTCAGTTTGGCAGGTTATTGTATTGCTGATGTAGAATGGTTCTTCCTCTGACTTGTTAAAGGGGGTCTGGAGAAGCCTGCTCTTCCTGTGCAGTGGAAGGCCATGTCTCTGTGCTGCCAGCATTGGGATTTTGCTGCTAACGTTGGCAGCAGAGTGCTTGCCTGGTGGCTGACAAGCTTGAAATGTGTCTTTGCAAATCCCTGAACTCTTCAAGGTAAAATGCTGATGCTTTCATTAGCAGTAGAGATCATGATCCAGGAAAAGCAGTAGAAAATATTAGTGTATTTGGCCAATTTGCTCTGTGACTTTTTCTATGCTCTTCAGACCTTTCAGCACCTTGTGTGAAAGTCACTCCATTTATTGTCTGACAGTGACAGAAGCCACTAAAATGCAGTCATGATGCTGATTAGCTGTGTAGGACAACAGGGAGAAAATAGCAAGAGGAAACCTAGAGGCTTAAAATTGCTGCTTATTCTTCCACAGAAGTAACAGAGACAGCAAAGGGAGCAAAGGGTTATTTTTTACCTCTGACCCTCCCATACCAGCGGACATTGACATAGGTGTGTAGCCAGGATGATTGGTTGCTTTGCTTCTATGATAGTTCACTAAATGAAGACAAGCAAGAGTGATTTCATGATTGCATTTTACATTAGGAATGCTCTTTACTAAGCCAGGTCAGAACTCTGGAACACTGTTGTCATGACCAAAGTGTCATGACTTGAAGGCCAAGAGTCTTAGGCATTTTCATATAGAAAAGGGGAAGGGGAAAGTCTATGTGAAGGTGAGGAGAATTTGTCTGAGGTGGGATCATGATGTGGTTGAAGAGAGAGAGATTTCTTACAGCAGCAACTAGCATTGTACAGACCAGAATGCTGTAAAAATAGGATATA